AGTTAATGATTTTAAAAAATGTAGTTGTTTAAGCATAGCGTTAGTGAGCTGTTGGTTTTATAGTTAATTTGAATATAAGAGTGTTGATTAAATGTAAATGAAAAAAGAAAAAGCAATTAAAATAAAAATGTTTATTAGGGTAGAATATTGAAATAATTTAAGTAGTACTCTTTATTTAAAATTTCTCATTTTGTCATGAAAACCAAAAAAAAATAAAACATACGCGTTCTAGTAAAGTGATGATATGTTTCTTTGTAGTAACTTAATGATAATATTGCCTAACGAGGACTAGGCTTTCCGAGAACTGCTTTTTTTTTTTGTTTATTTTGTAGTCAACACTATTATCTCCTCGTTATTTTGAAATATAGCTTTTCGTTTTTCGAAAAATCGAACGAAGCAAAGGTTCCAAAAGTCAACCTTTCGAATAAAATGTTATCTCTAAACAAGAACATCTCATCTTCGCAGCAAGCCAACACCTAATTAATTAGGTTATTGAGAATTTTTTTTTAAGTTAGTATTAAACATGCAAAAAATATATTGTACTCTAAAACAAGAGAAGAGACTTTGGTGTTAATTAACAGTGTGAGAAATTAAAAAAAAAGAAAAACCCAAAATCGAAAAGAATTTTTCCCAGATTTTTGTATTCGATTTTGCTTTTTTCTAAACACAAAATAAATATTTTTAATAAATAAATAAAAGTATTAAATAGAACTAAATATTCACATTATGAATGAAATTTTTCGTCTGTCGAATGCTCGTAAGCATAAAGAAATCAATTTCAATGTATAAACTGTATAAACACAACTATTTCCGAGAGTTGACATTACGAGAAGAGAGAAAAAAAGAAACAAGAGAGAAATTTTATGCGTCTTAGGCTGGCTGATTTATTACATACTATACATCGGCGTATGTTATGATTTGACAAATTTGTTAACCCTAGCTCATCCAGTATTAGAAAATTTGATGCATATGTTAATCTATTTAACTAGTTAATTTAATTCTTTTTCATATAAACATATATTATACAACTACAAAACGTATTTGATTTTATTAAGAAATTGTCAAATTTTTCGGGAATTATTATACCTTACTTTACTTATTATGAGATATGCGAGGTATGAGTGATGTGTGTCCATTCATTTTTGTGTTCAAACAACAGGTCGTAATATTCGCATATTTTGATAAAATTTAATATACTGACATACTTTGGTTTAAAGAGAAACCATACTGAAAGCAGATTGGATCGAACTAATTTCCATATAACGCATTACTTAAACAAATTATGAATATAAAAGGAATGAGCGAATTATATTCGGTTGCGGCCGAAGCTTATATATCCACTACTACGCATTTACCTCGTAGAAATTGGTACTGAAAAAAAGCAACACGTTCCCTTTGGAGGCGTCACGTTTCCCAAAACCCAATGCTCCCCTTATTCGAAGGAATTGGTTCCTCTGAGAAAAAGGCTTATTACAGTAGCAGGCCGAAATCATTAAATTAAGACAAAACGGGTATACCCCTATCCCTCAGTGGAAAGTATATATATTTTCCATTCCTAATATATATATATATCTTGGCGAACCTATTGAAATTTAGTGTTTTCATATATTAAATGAATTGACAATGAAATGATAATTTTTTTTGTCAAAAATACGTGTAAGAGTAGAGTTCTTTTTAACCAAATGGAATTCTGGCGCAAGAGAATAAGTTGTTACGTATTTCATGCCATGAACATCACCTAGATATTCATATGCGAGCCTTTTCACGATTGAGCAGCACAAACCGTTAATCACTTCACGGTCTTCTTTAAATGCTTTGCCTCGTTCAAAAATGTTTCTGAATGTGCTCAAGCATATCACGCAGGAATATTCATTGTAAAACCACATTTTAGTGTAACCATATATAAATTTGATCATATTAGTTGACAGTCTCACCATCCTAAAAATTGTTCCTCACGATACGGATCATACGAAAATTTTTCTTAATCAATATAAAATTCGCTTATGCGCTCCTCTTTGTTCTGCTTTCGAAACACTTGTGTTTGAAATGTCAACGTAAATAATTAAAGTGTTTTTTTTCCACTTTGAAAAGTGTCGTAGTCAGCTCATAAGCATTCCTATAAAAATGATTACTTTTATTATTATTTATTTAAATCAAAGAAATAAATTTTAGAACTAAAAAAGTAGAATGAACACCAGCAAGCGAGACTATCTTCTTTTCTTTTTTTAAAAGTAGGTTAGATGGTTTGTCCAGTCGCTTATTATGTTGTCCAGGCACTACCACAGGGTTAGAAGTTCCGAAAAAAAATTTTGAATGTTAGGAAGGTTTCTTAAGGATCAATTAGCGCGTTGCAAAGACACAGCCAAGGCGAATTTTAAAAAATGTTTTGATCTTCATTTTGTGGACGTTGTTCGGATATAATGATAAAAGGAGAATCGGATTAACATACCAGTAAAGTGGATGGTACCATTATAGATTTTTTTCCTCAATTTTCTTTTTGACTACTTTTCTAATATATATTTGAAGGTGAATCTTTTTCATTGTGGCGTCCGTAATTAAAGGTGCTGAAGACACGAATACTACGACTGCGTCTCTAAACAGCTTTAATTTTTTTCCGTAAGCTTAAAGGGTTTCGGATGGCTGTTATTATCGATTAACTGTCCGTGAAAATAATCGTTTTGCATTTAGTTTCGCGAGCGTTTGTGGCTTTAAGGACAGCTTTAGCTTCGGGAGTAAGTGTTGACCAGATTATTTCTCTGAAGACGAATTTTAGCGTAAATCCTTTTTTGTATGTTGAGAGGGAAATATTATAAGAGTTGAGTTAAGCCCAAGGCGGTTTAAATTCAGATTTTCGAAAGATATTTACGTGAACGATTATTTCTTTATGAACACGCATACAAGACTTAATAGTAGACTGGTGGCTTTTGATTTTTTTCGGCATTAATAACCTTTTTAATATCTTCGCTAAATATTGAATTCCTAGAGATGAGCAATTTCGGGACAGTATTGGCTTTCAACTCGTACATGCTATTTTCTAATTCTGGAAAATCTGTCTCGGCAACAATGTTAATGATGAGTGTCATTCCGAAAGCATACGTGCTGGCTCTTATAACTAGACAATAAATCGCCTTCAGGATATTTATATTACGCTTGCCGCTTTCATATATGAGCAAACCATAGTACATTTCGTATGGAGTTCACCCAAGTTTGAATGGAATTCTTAACTGAAAGCAGTGTGGCTTCGGAGGGTACCTATATTGGTAAGTTATTTACGTGGTTGAGCCGATTCTCCGCATCACTTAGATGTGTTTTACAAATGTGCAAGCTTTCTGTGACAGATAGAGTGATTACTGATTGCAACTTGTTGTTAAAGGCTATTTTGAGTATAAATTTTGATTAGCATTTACAAAGTATGTAATGTATGCACAGGGTGGGGTTTGGGTTAAAAGAAACATTGCCATGGGTTTCTGGAAGGGATGTGAAGCTAGGGTTGAGATCTTTGCTTTTTTGATGCCGATTACTTTTTTTGTGAGAATTGTAAAACAATCGCGACAAATGTGACGATTATGGTAAAAGGGTTTAGTCCTTGGTATCTACGGCGAACTCCCTTGATCCTACAATAACTTTTAGCTTTGATTTTTAATATTTTCCGCATTTGCAAGTATTGAGGGAAGCCTAAAGTCGAGTGATGGTCATTGCAGTTGATGCAGAAGGTTCTAAAATATTTACCCGGGTTATGAAGAGTAAGCCTGCAGTTAGCACATTTTGGCTCTTTGTTGTGTGTGAAAGACGCTGACAATTTTTGCATCGCGTTTGGGATGTAATACTCAACTTTACATTTATATCAAGTATCATCTATAGTAGACGGATAGCGGAAATTAGTGAGAACTATTTTGTCGTTAGGGGACAGGGTTGTCCTTCAGTGTTGGGTTTGACGAATTTATAGATGGCGATTACATCCTGAGACTTCACCTGGGGAATTATTTTAGCTTCAGATATATGACATAGACAAAGAGCACAAATAGCGCTTTGCACAGAAATTAACGTTTCATGTAGATTCGATGAGATAGGGTATAAGTTCCCTAACCTTTTTCAATTGCAAGAACTAATAAATTGTTGTCACGTCAAATGCCTTTTTTACTGCAAACGGACTTAGTTTGGCCATTAAGTTGTCTTTAGATATATGCACGATTCATTTTTTGTCCAGTAAATAGGCGTTATTTGTTGGCAATGATGGAAATCCAATAATTGTTTTACGTTTATTTTAGGAACAGGATGTGGATCCGATAGCATTAGGAACTTGTTAGGGCTCTTACGCGGTGGACTCAGAGACATAGCGTGATTGATGGATAACTAATAAAATATTGAAGAGAAAAAGCTTTATTTTTATATTGGGAAAACTTTGATGAAAATTTAAATTACCAAATTTTCTAAAATTTTTTTTTCAATTTGGTGGAGTTTCTGGTTACTGCGGCACCAAATTAGCACAATCAAGAACATCGCGCCCGCGATGGTATACAGATTAATAGGTTCAACCTGTTGATGCTAATTAAAGTTTAAAGACGTCTGGAGAGAAGCTGATTTTTGCGAACGAACAACAAGAGTACATGTTGTAGCCGTTCCGAAACAAGTTGAACTATATTAAAATTGGAAAAAAAAAACTACATATTGTTGTTCGTGGGCGACTATCTCTCCCAATATTTCATAAAGCGCATTACAATTGGCCCAGTAACACGCCGATAAATAGCAGAAAGCGTTAAGATATTTATACAATGAATTTTGCTTTATGTAATCGAAAAATACGCCAAATATACTAGATGCGAATGCAACTTTATTACGTTTTCAGTATATTTATTATTAGCAAATTACCAAAAATGGGCCGATCACTACTACACCGAACTAAAATAAATAATGTTTATAGTAAGCTTTATATACACGCCTTTAGATCAAGCAGCCCATAAATTTTAATTTTGCCGTAATTTCCATAATAATTTTATGTAAAATATATACGCATGAAATTCTAAAAAATACATAAAAATATTTAACTAAATGATTACTAAGAATAGTAGTAAGCGGATCGCGGGATGTGGATCTGATGTAAGCGTATCAATCTTACCCTTTTTCTTGTTTTTTTGACACATTTGGAAGTTATTCAACAATAATTTGTGTAGGATCATGATGAGATTGGTTTAGTCCCTAAATGGATGTTATTGCCGATTGTCGACATTCCAGTTCCACTTAATTTTAAACTTAATTTGATAAAAAATTTTAAATAACAACAAGTAAGAAATTTATCTTCAGCCGTGACCGAATCTGTTACACCCTTCACCGTGATGCTAAACAAGAGGAAAAGAACTAAATTGTCCTACTCCATAATATTAAGCGTGCGCGGCTGATTTTTCTATTTTCCGAATGAAAGTCAAAATTTATTTGGCGTATGTGTTGTACATTATGAGTAAAAAGCATGAAACCCGGGAAACAAAGGTCGTTTTTGTCAAAGCGTTTCCAACACCCAGAAGGAAGCTTGTAAAACTCCATAAACGTCCAAATGCACACACATCTTATAAAACATACAAAGCTTATAGAGTGTATACCACTGCCGACCAATCTCTTTACCACTGTCGATTCGGTATTCACCTAGACGTGCCCGTTTGGGGGTTGTCCATCTTTTCGTCTGTCCGTTTGTTCGTTTGCCTAACTGCGTAGCATTTGCAGTAAATTTTCTCCGCTACGCAAAAATGAACATATAGCCCATAAATTTGCTAAAATATTTCAAAATGACTTAAACCGGTAAAAGGGTAGACTTAGAACGCACCAAAATCTGAACACTTGCTTCAACAGGTACACGTAACATCAATTTCTGCCTTCATTGTACAAAAATAGATTAAATCTGCTACGTCCGCCCAACATTATAGACTATAAAAATTTATTTTTTTGTTTCTTTTAGTCTTTTTTAGGATAACGGTGATGGATATAAAAGATTCGCTCACAACCGAATATAATTGTCTTACTTGTATATTATTGGAGAGGTTATGTTGAATTTGGGCAAGATTTGAACTATTGGAATGACAGTTAAGTTCTGTCGATTTTGTCCATTAAACTCTGGTAGTTTGACATGAACTACAGTTACGTGTGACTCCGAGGTATCTTATCTAAAGAATTATGAAATAGTTCGGAATAGTTCAAGCGTTCACTGCAGGAAAACTGCGCACTTAAACGATGGCATCTAATCAGGTGAACTCAATAGAGTCCTTGCTACTACCTTGTTATAACCACTTCCTCCACCTTTCAAGTACTATGAAGCATTTGGCAGAAATTGATCACGCCATGCACCTAACATTCACGCGGGATACGTTTTTGTTTAATCTCGTTCTCGAGCTGCATTTCACTTTCGATTTTCTAGATTTGTTTTACATTCATTAGTCTTGGGACTTCATCCAAGAAGGAAAAAGAAAACTAAACAACCTGAATTTCTTCTTTTTCTTCAGTCACTTGGTAGCTTTATGAGGGAGCGCTTTCGTGCGATCGTATGGTTTAAGTACTTTGGCAGTTGTGAACAAATTGCCAAATTCAGTTTGCAGCCAATATAAATATCTTTATCGGCACTGAACGTAACCCAAGTCCATTCGTGATAAAAAATATTTTTTAAATTTAAGAAAAATAAGGTATTTATTTAATTTCTATTGTTTTGATATGAAAATAATATTAAATACACAATATGAATTGTTATTTAAAGCATGTTTAGATCTTAGAAAAACATAATTTTTCTTCATTAGCCCTTGATAGATGGCGAACAGCCAGGGATCTGATTCAAGTCAAGTATTGTTTCTCTCTTATTTTAAATGTAATTTTTTATTAAATTAAGAATAAAATTGCTTCGTCAAAAAAAAAGCCGCAGAGAAAAATTACCATTTAAAAATTTATCCTTGCGGGCTGAGAAAACATTGCCTAAGATGGTCAAGATGCAGCTGTTTTTAAATCTGGCATTAATAACGTCAATGTTTACGTTCAATCTAATGCAACTAATTGAAGCAGCTCTTTACAGTAAATTGTTTATGGTGAAAAAATTATAAATATGGACGTCATTTGATTTTTTCTTTATTCTTTTTTCGGGAAGAAGATGACCCTTGCTATACGAAATCTGAAGTTGGTTTATGTAAGCCTTGGGCAGAATGTCCAACAATTAAGAACTTGCTTGAAAGCGGTGCATATAAACTAGAGGAAGTAGAGAATTGTGGTTACGAAGTTAAGGAGGAGATAATATGCTGCCCTAAGCTGAAAACGGATGTCAAGATATCTGATACCACTGATCGTACGGGTGTAACGTAAGTCTTTTTTTGTGTTGCGGTGTTGACATATTTTATATTTTTCGGAAAATAGTCGTTGTGCGGCATTAAATGTTGTAAAATCCAGTTTGATTGTTCCCATTCAATTAACTTGTTGGTTCGGGTGGAACTTGTAACACCGTAATTTTTACTTCTCATTAGCTCCCTGTTTCTCTTTACATTTCTCTTTTTTCACTCTCTACATTTTCTAGTGAAACAACAACAAGAAAAGATTTTTGGTTGGTTTTAATAAGTAGGAAAAATCCAGATTTTTGGCTTGATCTATTAGAACCAAAAATAAAAGCTTTGTTGCAAAAAATCCCTAGTACGACGGCAAAGGTAACCGCCACAAATTTATCTGTCATCATAGCATGAAAATCTTTGATAATGTCGAGTAAGAAATTGGCTATCAATGACCACCATGATTTTGCGGTACTTTTACGAAATAGGAGCGCAGGTGAAAAAATAATTGATGGTGCAGTTGTTAATATTACCTTGTTACCTTATTTTAAAAGTAATACCAATAGTCAGGATTTAAGTGCAGGACCAGTTAATATATTTAAAAAAAGTGATAATTGTGGGCAAAAATATATTGCAAATAATAATCGGTTGCAAGAGCGATGGACAGAAGATATTATCTCTATCAATCAACTAGAACGGTCACGGCAATCAGAAATGCCACCGATAGAGACTGGCAAAAGAAATGTGGAAAGTAGCAATGAATCTAGAAATAATGAAACGAGTGAGGTGGGAATGGATTTTGCACAACAACCGACGCAAAGCAATGGCAGACTATTCAACAGCGCCTTAGAAAAGCCAATAATTTCAGAGAGGGAATTTTTAAAAATTTTTCGGTATGGTCAGACAAAAACAACAAATACGAGAAAAAGAGCAACGAAAAAGTGTCCTAAGCAGCAATTCTTCTGCAAATATCCCGAATGCTGTTGTCGCACAGCAAGATCTACGACAACAACAACAAGTACGAAAGCGCCCAAGTAATACTAATTCTTTGAACGCAGAACAGTTAAGTGGTCAGACATCCCAGACCTTTTCAGATCAAGTAACGCAGCGACAACGACTACAAAATTAATCTGCTAACAAAAACCATCAAAGTTTGCAAAGCAATACTGACCTAAAAATTGTTAAAATGTATGCTAGACACTATCAGCAGCAACAATCACAAGTTGGACAATTGCAGCAAGCATTTGACAATAAATTGCAAAATAAACAGCAACTAAATATTTTAATTTAAATCGGTTTGCTACCCACCAAGGCTCCCAAAATACTGGCATTTTATTCAGTAATCCAATGTTTCGTTCGTTACAACGTTTGAATGTGAAACTGTCTGGTTTGCAGTGATCATCGCAGATCAAAATGATTTCACAAAATAACGAAATTTTGCTAGCAAACCAGAATTTGAATTTGACTCCGTCTTCGATACAACGACTTTCACAAAATAATAGTTTGTTACCAAGCAGCCAAATGCTTCCAGACGCACAGAACTCATTCCCTACGGAGCTTTTTTCACAAATGAACGGCTTTTTGTCATATAGCCCAGTGCTGTCGGCAACACATGATTTCAAGTTCAATCTGCCTGCTACGCAACAATCTGCACTAAATAAACATATTTCAGAAAATAACCAAACACTGTCAGCAACACATAACTTCCAGTTGATACCGGCTGCTGCGCAACTACTTCCACATAATAATAGCTTTTCGCCAAATATTCAAGTGCCACTAGCAATACAAAGCCCTCATTTGAACCCAACCGTGCAGGAACAACTTGCACAAAATAATGACCTTTTGGCAAATATTGATGTGCAGCGAACAATACCAAACATGAACTTCAATTCCTCTGCAAACCAACAATTTGATTTAAATAAAATCACTTTAGAAAGTAATCAGAAAGTTCAACAAAATGTGCGAACGCGATTCCCATGTGATGCGGTTGTGGTTTAAATGTTCGCAAATCAGCAACAGCACATCATTCAGCACAATTTCAGCACATCAATGCTAACAGTAGTGAAATAAGAGCATATCCTCCACAACATACTATCCTTCTATGGGTAGAAGACAATAAAGTAAAATTCAACAGTAATAGTTCATCAAATTTATTAATTTGTTCAAATTATCCGCAACGTATACATTATCACACTGCCTGCATGCTTAAACAAAAAGTAGAATTCAAGAACTCAACACAAATTCCACAATTTATTCGTCAAATGCTGGGTAATAATTTGGAAAAGGAGTTATCAGCTACGGGAGTTATCACCCCGAATAATCAATCATTGGTGGATAACTTTGAAAATAATATTACCGCAAATGGGGAATACGTAAGTAAGCAGTGCGGGAGGTAAGCCAGCGGGATCTGAATTTCAACAATTCTTTTCTCCAAGGGATCATCCGAAGAACAGAAAAGTGGAAACAAACTAACGAACTGAAGCAATATTAAGGTGGTTATCATTTGCAAGGTTATGGTATCTAAACACATTTTATTGAATTAACATAGTTTTTATCATTTATTTTTTTAATGGTTATGCGAATTTTCTTGAAACTTAATGCTAAAGATTATACATTAAATTAAAGTATATTTTGTTCTGTTTTTTTCAGTATAAGACGGACTAACATTTCAGAGAGTGGCAACAGCGAAAGAGCGGCGGTAAGAGGTAAGTGTCAAAGATTACAACTAGCAGCGGACGCATATTCGACAAATTTATTTTTAAGGTTTCCGTGATTATACTGGTATTTTCTTTCATTTCTGTAAATGTATTCCATGAGCATTATTGATATTGTTCATTTATTTATGAAATTCAGCTGAAATAAGCTAACAGCCGACTTCAAATAATTCTTAGAAATAAATGTAATGCTGAGCATTAATAATTATTACAAAGTATTTAAGGAAAAACAAAGAAAATATTAAAACATAAAAGGAACAAAATTCATATATAAATAAACAGGAGAAAAAAAAGCAAAAAAAATTATGTACACATGAAGCACAGAGGCACACACAGCAGGTGTAAATGCGAGTCGAAAGTGAACTCCTAAGACTTTGAAAACATACAAAAGCTTGGCAAGCGATACTAGTGAAAAAATTTGGTTTAGTTTTCGGATCATGCAAGGATATCAAGATTGAAAGCTAATTAGATACAACATATGGAAAGTACGCGTATTTAGGAAAGCTGATTTGATAGATGTCGGGGATTGGAATATTGAGATTAAATTAAATTAACAAGAGACAGTTAGGTCATAATCAAATTCTAAGAGTGAAAAAAGCAAGAATTGCTTTTGAACGGATTCTATTGAATGTAAATAGCGCCTATAGTTCGGAGACTACAAAAAGAGTACTCAAGTATTGATCTAACTAAACTCCTCGTCAAACTCTCTAGATTATCGTATAATACAACCGAGCACAGATATTTTTTGCAGCGAGCTTAATGTGCAGATTAAAACGTAATACTTGGTCGAATAAAAAATAGCTAACCTTAATACATTATAAAACAAGGATATTAGAGTTTGCATATTCTCAGTAGAATGAAAAGATGAAAGATGTAAACGGCACAATATTGGCTTTATGAAATGCTATTGTATATCTGAGCAAGGAGTGTTTAACAAGTTAGATATTTTGAACGGGCCAAGCTGCTTTTAATGAAACGATAAACAAATTTTTGAAGGATACGGATCCTCACGTAAAAGTAGACAGCGATTTACAACTATACCTACGAAACTGACAAAGCAAAGATGTAGCAGCCTGCCAGTACAATCACGAGTACGATTACATTTAAATAGATTATGGTCAAATACATTGAAAACACGTGAGCCTGAGGACATATTCAATGTTTGTGTGTGGAGCAACTGCAGAATTAGTATATCACGGACGATCCCGCGGAGTATATTTCTTTATTAAGAATCCTAGTGGCCACAAGGTAGTCTTTTCAAGAATCTCAGTGTTTGCCGTCAGAACTAAAATCTTAAAGGAACGGAAGGCTCGAATTTGTGATGGAGATAATTTAAAAATGCAAACACAATTAAAGTTAATAGATAGAGCTTTTGCAGCAACGTAAAGTTTTATATTATCGCTTGAGGTGTTCAGTGGCAGTCTTCATACAAGTAGTGCTTTCCCAGGCGGTACTGCCATCAAGGAGACAACTTTCGCATAAGGACCATAAGGAATCGGGGGCAGAGAATTCTGAAATAGGGAAAAAAAGAGAGAGCGACTTTTGTTTCTTGTGCAACTTGGTGCTCTGTACATACACAGGATGTACTACGGGTAAAGAGAGAGGAGGTGGTTTTATTATTTTTACTTACATTATTTTGAGATATGGACTGAATCTATCAGGCGGATGCCCTCTGGCCGTATCAGCCTAACTGATACGATGAGAGTAAGTACCGTCATTGACGATAAGCAAGAAGGTTGACCAACATGGGCGGCCATAAGCAAAACCAGAGGAAAAGGATCAGAAGATAAGCTACTTGTTGGTCTTCTACAGGTTTGAGGAGAAGCTGGGCGCTAAGTATCGACACTCATCGAACATCGATTTAATTTTTTCATATTTTCCAGGCAATGCCGTAAGTTCCCCACTAACTTGCGAAAAAGCTTTTCTTGACTGTATGAAAACCTTATAAAAATCTATGTCTTGCTTTTTACAGTCGGGACACGACCAACGCAATCCTTTTGATGGACACAAGGCTGTGTCCGCAGGTCTGCCAGTAACACCCGCACATCTCACGTGATAGTGTCGTTCGTAAAGCCATTAACTGACGCAACAACTTTGGCATGGCAAGGTATAAACAAACATTTGACTTTAGAAGAAGGCGAATAAAACAGAATTCATGAAGAGAGAAAAAGCAAACATAAAATTATCCAAGTATCCACATTGTTTACTTAAGATATCACACAAAATGAGCACTATTAAAACACTGTAAGCAAGGAGAAGACTGTAATCAAGGTAAACAACGAAGATGTTTACAAAGTAGGAACAATCCAAGCCAAGCAGAAAAGAAGAAATTAGCAAATAATGACAAAGCAAAGCAAAGAACAAATGGTTTTTCAGCCTGCGATACCTATCAAAATTTATTTAAAAACAGACTTTGAACACCAGCCAGAAACTCTTCTAAAGGTATGGCCACGAGTGGAACCCAAAACAAGCCAAAGAATGGCCAAAAAAAAAAAAAAAAAAAATACAAAGAATTTTCCTGACTAGAGCACAACTGTTGACCGCAAAAAGACAAAACGATTAGAACACTTAAAAACAATTTGATGAATATAAATGGCAAACATAATGCGATTATTATTGCTTTTGCTTAAAACTGTAAGTAGAAAAGAATTCACAAAATTTCTCAATCCAGGCGAAGGATACGACTCCAGCGCGCAATTTAAATATACATATATATGTATAGTTTATGTGACCTTTATTTCGCGAAATTTATCGAGAGATTTATTAGAAATTATGAATTATGCTTGCTTATTTTTGTTATTAAAAATTATTATACAAATAAAATTGAGCGACAAATTTTATTAATTCAGCAATTTAATTTTATTTCTGCAACGAATTTTGTTATTTTGTATATTTGCTGATAATACCATATATCATTTATCATTTATGTTAGCATTGGTGTTTGGGACTGTGGTATACGCATACTTCCTTCCTTCTTTCTCTTTTTGCAGAGTACACTCGTGTATATTTTTAAGTAACTGCATATTATTTGTTCTATTTCTAATGCAGCAAATTACCACCGTTTTAGAAGCTAAAGTAAATTCAATAAGTATTATAATAACTTAATATGATGCATCTTGGTAGTATTTGATTTCTTCAACCTTATCAATATTCCTATAGTGGCCTTACGTTGAGTTACTATGTCATTGAAATCGCTAGTTTATATTCCAAATTTTAAAAGCTTTATGTTGAATTTACAACAAATCTCTTTTTTTTGCTATTATAAAATTTGTCATTTTGAAATAATGTGTTATCATTAGAGAAAATAATTATATTATTACCTCTTATGCTAATATTATTTTCTGAATTCCACTTAGTTCGGTTTTCTTGTTACGCGCATTCTTAATAACTGGTGTTTCATCATCTACTTTTTGTCAGGCGCAATTCCTTAATCTTTCTACTTGGATAAGAAATATACACTTTATTTTTAATGTATGCAATCAGTTCGTTAAGTGGGTCTCACTAATACTGAGTTTTTTCGTTCGGCAAAACACTTGTTAAGCCTAGTCCATTGTCCAAACATAAAAATTTATTTTACTACTTTATATTGCTAGGGAATACATATTAAAATATAAAAAAAAGCAAAAGAACACATTATCCCAGTAGAGAAGAAAATAAAATAACATCAAAAACTTCCAAAACATAGAGCCATTAATATTGGGTTTTTCTCACATAAGGAAGAATACGGAGATAAAAAACCGCATAATATTAAAGATTAATGTTCAGTGGGGTATCCATTTTGCTTAATAACGTCATTTAAACGTTATGACTTTTTTTTTATAAGTTTTCTTGTGTGGGAAACAGGGATGTTATCCCATTCCGCTTATAGTGTGTTTTTCAAGCCTTGGACGAAAGGTATTGAGTGTTTGCGCACACGGCGGTCTAATTCATCCCAAATAATTTTGATAGTGAGGGTGAAGCACTTTGTGGCAGTTATATAAGAAACACTCTTAAATTAGGCGGGGCTTGTGCTTGGTCGTTATCTTGGTAGAATTTAAAGATATGGAAAAACTACTAACTCTAGATGAGTGTTGCTCCGATATTATCGGAAGTTATGAGTTAACAAGTAAAAAAGTTAATTAAGGCGGGGATTGAATCTCGCATACCTACCACTACATATTTCGCATTCTACTCTCCAAATTATTTTATTTGATATCCATATCGCTAGTATTATTAAGAAAGTGTATGGTGTCTACCATACTCATTTTAAAATTAACCAATTTTTAGGCAGACAATATATCTTCCTTATTTCTTCAACGGATACATTATAGGAAAAAACAAAATGACTATACTTCCGTCTTACAGTGGTGGGTATAAAACGTAAGTTCTATTGGAAATTAAATGGATTGGATATTTTCAATTCCGATGGCTTTAGAGATGGAAATGGTTCGAGAAATTACGACGGAAATGATAGCGATAAAGAGGTTGATTAAAATTTATAGAAACTGAGGAAGGATTCTGTTTCTATTCAGACATTAATCTCGAAGGAGAATGAAACTGCATTGGGAGACATTAGGCAATAAATGTTTTGATAAACAATCAACTCACACAATATTTAAAAAAAACAGCAAATCCAACCGCTTAATCGAAGCGAAGCGTTATGCCCGAGGAAGTAAGCATTGCTTTTTGGATATTAATCGCTGACATAATGGGGACCCACGTCAAAATTCGCGCCGAACAGAAGGAGGAAGATCAGATTGGTGAATTATATGTTTTTATGGACGTATTCAATGGTAGAACCAAGAACAACAAAAATATATAATCAAAAGGAACGAAAGATGACGGTATCAAAAAGCATTCAATAAATATAAAACAAAGTATAGTGTAGTAGTACAGTAAGTGGTATAAGTGAAGTCAACTATTTAACCGTCAACTGTGGATGTGCCGGCAAAAAGAACACTTTTCCGAAATATCTTCACAGGATTAAAAGTTATAAGCGAAAATATGAAAAAATTATGATTTTTTTCGAGGTTATTTTATTTTCCCATTTATGGTGACCGTGTGTTTACGCATATCGCAAGCATTTATTTAATATTACATTCCTAATTGACCAAGGAATTTTGTGCAAATTTCATCTTCTGACTTTTATTTTTGCGATTGTGACATAATGACAAAAATACGGGGTCAGAACGACCCCTTTTTGTAGAAATAGGTATATATAAAAGGTCGGTAATTTAATCTTAAATAGTCTACAATCCCTACAGTTATATATCCGAACCATTTTCAATAGCGTTTGTTCTTGGGCCTAAACACGTAATTTCGTCAAAATGTCCCAAAAATTGTGACTTGTAAGTTGCACCAGGAAAACAAGTGAGACGGATAGACAGACAAAACTAAATCGATTTAGAAAGTGTTTTTGAATCAATCGGTGTAATAAAGTTTCAGTCTTTTCCAAGCTCTTCTAAGTATTGCACCCATCCACACAAACATAATACACACATGTACCACAAACTGTATAGGGTATAAAAATTATATAAATACACTGTGGCTTTCGATGTTGATTTCAAATTAAACGCAAAAGCGCTTACTTGATCCATAGGTATTTTCAGTTAATTTAATTATGCAGATAAGTCCTTTCGTCTGTTAAAATTCTCGCCCATGGACAATTTTAAGATCGTAAATGTTAAGATAAAAATGTAGATTTTAATACGCATGTTCGCCAATAGATTCTCCAAGCAGATTTTCGAAACGTATATGGTCAGGTTACAAATACTCCGACAATACCTTAAAACTTGGAACAAATTCAAAAATAGATAAAACCACATATTTGATAACAATTACAAGACATTACATTCTGTAATAAAACGTCCATGATTATAGTTAACTTTGATATGCTTTCTGGAAAATACGAGTATGTCATCTTTACCCTCATTAAGAATCTTACTTTTTATGGATATGAGTACGCTACTCTTTTCAAATTTGTCTTTTAAATTTTTTTTTTTTTTTTTATATTTCAGCCTGTAAGAAACTGGAAACTCGTGAACAACCTGCTCACTTGACTCCTCACATATTGGAAGGTGTGCCAGCTGCATTAGGCGAATTTCCACATATGGCCGGGATAGGTTATAGTCGCAGCATCGGCGACGATAGCCCCCCTTACATTGTACGTTGCGGTGGTGCTCTCATCAGTGCACGATTTGTACTTACAGCTGCTCATTGCGTTGCGTCAAGGGATAACGTTCCGAAAGCTGTTGTTTTGGGTGTGGTAAATTTTAATGACCCTGAAGAAATGAGTGCAGCGCTGCAAATTAAAATAAAGGTAGTTTAAGGCATAATTCGAAATTCTACGACTGAGGATTTTTTGTTTCACTTTTTTTAGGAAACTCATATACATGACAATTATACATCAAGTACCACCTACAATGATATTGCGTTGCTTGAGCTCGAACAGGACGCAGAATATTCAGCATTCGTTTATCCTTCTTGTTTACATATCGACGAAAATGATCCTTCAGAAAGTGAAACTCTTCTCGTGACCGGTTGGGGCACCGTTAATACTGCGAGTAAATTACATTTTTTGCGCCTTATTATTTTACTTGTTCAGATATCCTTTTTTATCACTTGTCTTAGCTCGTGCCTCCTCTGACATCTTACTGAAGGTTAGTTTGGATATAAAACCTTTAGCGAGCTGCAACGAAATTTTTGCGAAGTATGGTTCAGATCGTCGTCTGACCCAAGGTGTTGTCAAAACATTACTATGCGCAGGAGATAAGGAAGCCAAAAAAGATGCATGCTCCGGGGATTCCGGTGGCCCTTTGAATTTAGTGATAGATGGTAAGATCACATCTTTTCTTTTGTAGTGTTTTCTAACTCTTTTTGATATTCTGCATAGAATCTTATCGTCAGTATCGCATCGTCGGCATAGTATCGTCCGGTTTCGGTTGTGGTACTTCAATACCAGGTTTATATACTAGAGTAGCGTTATTTCTTGATTATATTGAAAAAATTGTATGGCCAGATGGTGTGGTTTAAAGATTCGCATGACGCATAAAACAAGATTGAAAATATATGCTTAATAATAAAAATATATATTTTTTTTGCGATAATAAAAATATTATTATTATTATAATTATAATTTTAGACTAATGAAATATATTCTTAGACTAAAAAGAAAAGACATTGAGCACTAGCAACACAGGCTATTGGCTCTAATTTGTAGAAATGTACATTAGACATTGAGCCTAGTAGTTTTAATAAAGTAATATATTGTATTGATATTGTGTTCTGTAGCTGATTTAGGGTTTATCGTTCTAAATGCAATACTTTTAGCCAAGGTAAAATTAAGACAGTCACAGAGAATGTGTTTTATAGTGAGCGGCCAACGCGATTTCTCAAAAATATTTGGATTTTGATTTTCTCAACATGTGTTGGGTATAAAGGCGGAGTTCTTTGAGGGTTAATAAAAGAGTAGTGCTGGTGATGGTATTGTAGATTTTCTTCTGTAATTTTCTCTTTAACTTTTCTTGCGATGCACCTTTGAAGTTCCAAGAATATTTTGAGCCGTCTGTGTAAAAAACATTCCAACCAGTACTCTCCAATACTTGGGTTTTTTCAGCTATTAGATTCCTGAAGACGTAATTTGGAGTATTTTCTTTCTTGTGCATAGACAGCGAGATGTCAAAAGAGCAGTCTTTCAAAATCCATGGAGGTTTAACACCAAAATAGCGAAAAATTTTTAAGGGAATGTCCAATTCTTTCGCGAGGTACAAACCATAGTCAATTGCAGATGGTGACTTTTGAATTTTCTTCGCAATAATAATCCTTTTCACGTCATCACCGAGAATAGATTTGTTTGAATTAAAAAAGCTTGAGGACTTTTTTAGCTTTGAACTCATAAAGTCTATTTTCTAAAGTTTGGGATACCAGTTTCAATTTTAATATTATTTATGGGCGTCGTCCGAAAAGCATAGCAACTTGCTCTGAGGGCGTGCTGATAGACCGGTTTAAGGATGTTGATATTAGGTTTGCAGCAATTGCCATAAATTATCAAAGCACAGTCAATCTTGCCTAACAGAAGCATTTTGGTAAGATAAACAATAGTGTTAAAGTGCGCATGGCTTTTCCAAGCAGCGTGCTGTGTGAAATTCAACCTTGTTAAAATAGAAATTTTTGACCGAAGACAGTGTGCTTTCCAACGATATTTGTTGGCAAACATGAGCCCGAGAATGTGCATCGTATGCAAGTTTATTACTGGTAAGTCATTAATATACATTAGTTGATTTTCTGCGTCGCATATCTGCTTTCGACAAATGTGCATTTTTTTTGGATTTTTGTATGGAAATTTTAACCGCTGGTGAGTTTGCCTATGCGGAGATCTCTCGTCCAATAGATTCGAGCGTGTTGATTTCCTCCATCTTTTTCTTTTGTTAAAATGTATACATCGCCCGCGTAGAGACAACGTTCGACTCTTGGTACACGGCAAAAAATTTTTCTAATTTCGTTGGATGCGATTTGGAAAAGCGTGACAGACAGAGAAGTTCCTTGCGGAATGCTATTCATTGGCGGAGAGGAATCAGAGAGATGATTGTTGATTCTAACTTTAAGCCGCCGATGCGACATGAATGATTCGATGTGGTTGAAGAATTTGGATCCAATATTGCACGAATTCGAGAGTCTTCGAATAGCATGAAGACTAACTCTGTTAAATGCTTCTTCGAAATCAATTGAGAGAATTGTTACACGATTTTGTTAGGAATTTGAATTGCTTGTAAAATAATCAACATATGAAAGAGTGTCGATGCACCCTCTACCCCGCTTGATACCAACTTGTTGCTTTGTAATCAGTTCTTGGACTCAAGAAACCAAGATAATCTAGATGCTATAATCTGTTCTAATAGTTTTGAGAGGCGAGATAAAAGAGAAATTGGCGATAGTCCGATGCGATGAAGATTATTTTTGACTTTGGAATTGGACTGCTGCCAGTTTCCACATGCAGGGTATACGGCCAGTCAAAAATATTGTATTATATAGATCCCGTAATTTCATTTTATGTGAATTAGACAGAGTACTGATCATTAGGTATGAGATGCGATCTAGACCAGATGTACTCCTCTTCAGTTTGGAGGGATAACTTTCAACTTCTAAGGTAGATATACAATTTTTCAGGAACATGGCACATTTGTCAATAGCATTTGAAAGGGAAATTGGCGTCCTTTCATTTTCGATGAAAGCATTGGAAAAGTGGCAATCAGAGGAATATTCGCACCACACTTTTCCAAAATAGTTAGAAATCTCATCTGCGTCAGTTAAACTTCCATTGGGAGTGCAGATGGCAGAAATTTGATTCAAATTTGAAGTCTCATTGAGTGTGTTGATTTTGTTCCAGACAACTTTCATTGATATTCTGTGAATTCTTTTCGAGAAAAGGTCGAAATTAAGTGCCTTTGATTTTCGTAATTCCTTCCTGAATAGAGCATTGGCCTTTTTGTATAATAACAAATGATTATTATCAGGACGTCTTTTAAAGCGGTGCCATAGATCTATTTTGTTTTTCCTCAATAACGAAAGCGTGTTGTTCCACCAAGGAGCCTAGCTCTTTCGGAAAAGCCGTTGGATTGAGGAATAGAAAGGTGAGCAGCCGTGCGATTCGGTTTAGACATAATAGCAACATCATGGTTGCACTTCCCGTTAAATGACTTTGAGTTCAGAAATGACTCGGCCTGTTTGGAGTAATTGATCCAATCCGTATTGTCTAGGAGGAATTTGGCTGTTTTGCTGGAGTAACAGAGGACTTTGAAAGCTTAAGATCGATTATGATTGGAAAGTGATCATTATTATGTAGATCATTAGAATTAGACCAGTAAACCAAAGGAAGAAGAGTCGGGGAGCAACATGTTAAATCAATATTAGAAAAGGTGTGATGAGTTGAAAAGTGCGTTGGTGTTCCATCAATTAAAATGCAGAGATTGCTTTAAATGAAGGCCTTTTCTAAAGCAGTATCACGGCTCCCTGTTGAGCCCCAGATGGTATTCCACCAAGTAAAGTCGCCCCGCATAATTAATGGGGGGGAAAGCACAGAGAATAAGTTATAGATTTCTTACTGAGAAAACGATTGCGAAGATGGGATATAGAGCGAAAGCACGGTAAACTTTATGTTTAAGATTATTTGTATAGCTACGGCTTATATATATGAGCTTAAATTTATGCGTTTGTGATGTATACTTGATTTTATAAAAACAACAACTCCTTCTTTGGAATATAAATTGATCAGCATTTGGGCGGAATAGAATTAAAAGAGCTTCTGCAATGGGTCTCTTGGAGCGATATAAAGGTTGGATTAAAATCACTTATGAGTGTGCGGAATTTACCAGATTTATTAATAATTCGTGACATGGAAATGGAGCGGTACGTGAGTTATGTTGACATGTCAGCGACTCCGTCGAAAATGTCGCTATAGGAGTTTTGCGTGAATAATTTATTCTTGCCAGCAGAATAATCTGTATTTAGGTGGTTGCGTATATTTGAAGTGGAACGAGTGGGCGCACGTAAATAATTTGAAATTGAAAGTTGATTAACGGATGAAAGGTTGGATTCATTACAGCTTACAATTTGTTGACTAGGGCTGAGAGCTGATGATTCTGGGGAATTTAGTTTATTAGGGTTTACGATACGTGTAGTTGTTTTAATTTTATCAATATTTGGTGTTGTTTTGATTTTTTTAACATTATTTTTGGCGGGTGATGTATCTGGTTTCGATATATGATTTTTGGCTGATGGCAGAACAGATTTGACATTCGAAAGTGTTGGAGTTAAAGGCTTATTGGGCTCAATTTGCGAGGCGACAGGAGCATAGGTATTATTTTTATGAATTTTTTGGGTTCCAGTTGGATATATTTCCCTGCACTTGCGGCGCGATTCTCCCATGCTACACAGCAATTTTTTATTTTGATTTTTTAAATTTCATCCATTTGTATATAACGTGGGCATTGTTTGTCTAACGCCGAGTGCTGATCATTGCAATTTATACAGCAACTACGCGTACGTACAGCTTTCAGAATGTGGAAGAAGACCACAGTTAGCACAAGATAAAGTACTGTTCCACTTTTATGCCATATGACCAAGGCTATAGCAATTTTTGTATCTCATGGTATTTGGAACGTAGAGATCCACTTTACATTTATACCAAGCCACATCAACTGTTTTCGATGATCGATAGCAATCACAGGTCACAATTATCCTTCCTGTAGGAGGAATTTAATTTGGTGAATTTATAAACTTCAGTCACGCCTTGATGGCTTATTTCGCTAACTATTTCGTCTTCCGGTACATGTTTAAAGCATGGGGCATATATTACGCCTTTAACGGAGTTAAGTTTGTCATGTAGTTTAGCGGAAATAGCACATTAATTAACTAATGATTTCGATTTTTTGAGGTTTTCGGCTGCGCGCGGGTTGTCAGCGAGGACAAGTAAATTCCCATCGTATAGAATCGAAATAGACTCTATATATACAGTGTAATGCTATCCAGTGATTTTTTAATAGCAAAAGAGCTGATTTGTGAAATTGTTATGGTAGGGTTAGTTGAAGAAGTCACAACATATTTTTTCTCAATAGGAGTGATGCTACTGGTTGGCAACACCGCAAAGTCCGAATTTTTAATTTTTTTTCTTTGGTGGGATACGTCTGCTAATAGATAAAATCTATTTGAGTTTTTATCTGGCGGCCCCGAGCCCATTATGACTTATGGTCGTCTATTATTTAGTAATTTGGGAAGTAACCCCTTACTTGAAAAGGTTTGAGAACTACTGAGGAGAATGTCAATTGATTTCAATTTTTTATTTTTATTTATTTTTTTGATTTTTTTTATTATATTTTGAGGAAACAAAAGCACATACTATCCGCGATAATCAGTTTTTGTAAAGACACTGAAACGACACGAGCTAAACACACAAAAACACCGAAAACAATTAAAAAATCGCAGACGAAAAAGAAAACACGCACTACTCAGAACACAAGTCGACAGTTTTTATAATAAAAATAAACCATTCTATTACAGATAATATTTAAAATATAATTTCTTTTTATTATTAACCAAAGCGATAAATCTTTAAAAGTATTAATACAATATTCACATATTTACGGATATTTATAATAATAACCTTATAAGCCGGCCTTTTAAAGATTTTTTTGCACACGCTTTGATATATGCTATGAAATAAGCTTTCTACCAGTGTGTGAAAAGCTGCTTCCTTTTTTTTGCTTTGTATCAGAAAAGTTTTGTTGATAGAGTGACCATATGACTAGTTCATCAAGAAGAAACAAGCTTTCATTTCGTTCTCGGTGCTTAAAAACAGTTTGACACGTGCGTTTTATTTTAGTTTCACACGAAAATTACTTTTAATGTGGTATAACCAACGCAACGCGAAATAACTGGATATCGGAGAATTGTTTTGGTTTAAATATAACCTCTCCCTTTCTCTCGCTCTATATATATACATATATAAATGTAATATATGTGTGCATAGATGTGAAATTAACTTTTTTTTTATACATATACATATGCTAAATTAATTTTTATTGGAATGGAAATGTGTTTAGTTCATCATAATTGAAGTGTAGCAAAAAGTGAAAAAGTGCTCCGAAAGGCAGGAAATTTATTTAATTTATACACTTATTTTAATTATTGTTATAATAACATTTTAAGCAACGTAAATATAATAAAATCTATGGGATTACTTTTGAAGTGAACCTTTGAAATTTCAATGAAATAACTTCTTAATTATAAAAGGTGAGTAAAATGTTTGTTTATTCGTTAAGCGTTTACCATGCTATCTTTGTGTTTTACTAATTAATTCATTGCTTATTGATAAATATATTATTTATTTAAAAAATAATAGACAACAGTAGATAAACGAGCAATTTAGCAAGTGGTGTGTCATTACACTTATTCAATCAAATGTGGAGTTTTCTGCTTCGCAAAAATGTAGGCAATTTTTTGTATTCCCTAGTAGCTTTAAACTAGACTATTGACAGTTGAAGAATTTATCGATCCACCTGCTATATGTTCCACGGTTTCTTATGTTACGATTCGAGCATATTATCTATCAATATATTCACTAATTAATTCATTGTCTACTTATGAATATATTCACTTATAAAAACATAAGAAAAATGAAGAAAAGAAACAAAAGTATCGAAATATTGTATTTTGAGATAAAATAAAACGATGTTATTATTTTGTTTCACGTTCACTTTTTCTAATTCCATACGGTGTGAAGTTTTACTTGAATACGAAAAAAAATTTTCAGAATAATAATTCAACCCTTAAACTGGGTTTCGTTCCTTTTTTCCCTTTTAAGAAATTATTAATCCATTTTCTTATAAAAACTATTCTTAAATAAAAGCTTTCGCCACATATCTATTTTACAAAAAGACATGTTTTTTAATAAAGAGATGAGAAATCTCTAGGTAAATAATAGTTTTAACGTATGCTGTTGTTAAAATTTTTACACTGACGGATTCTAACATACTAATTCATTACTAAAGTTACCGACGTGGCAGATGCAATGAATTCGAATTATCTTTATATTAGATTGCTTTTAAAGTTTATGGATAAAAAGCATGCTTGAGAAATAATTAAAGTAACATAAATGCTTTTTTATATTATTTTATAGGATGAAAGAGAATTTGTGGTTTCGTAAGAAAAAAAGATTGTAACAATGTCAATTGCTCGAAAACTTTTTAACGAAAAGGAACTGAATTTGAACACTTTTAACTGCATTCAAAAATTCCCTTTTAAAGCGAATTGAAACCATTGCTTAATTTTTCTAACATCGACTATAATTTAACAATTGGCTGTATATTTAAGTGTTGGGGGAAATTGACGCCATTTAAATTTGCTCATAAAATAATCCTTTTTGTAACTGAAATTATTTATAGCAGATTAAATGTAAGATTTTATATATAAGTTGGGGAAAAAGAAATCCATTATTTTTATATGAACTTCAGGACTTTATTTAACATGCTTCGGATTGTCCGATTTGGGTCAAATATGCACCGTTTTGTTGTACGATTTGTTGCCATTTTAAAGGTAACTTCAAAATGCCTCTCTCATAGAAGTCCTGGTCTCTATTTGCAAAAAACTCTACTAGTCGATTTTCACAATCCTCCCTAGATTCCAATTTTTTATCATTAAAGAAATTTTGCAATGCAAGAAAAAGATGATAATCGCTTGGTGCCAAGTCCGGACTGTATCGCGGATGCATTAAAACTTCCCAACCAAGCTCCCGAAGTTTCTGGCGAGTCACTGTAGATGTGTGTGGCCTAGCGTTGTCCTGGTGGAACACGACACCTCTCTTGTTGGCCAATTCTGGCCGTTTCTGGTCAATCGCTATCTTCACACGGTCCAGTTGTTGACAGTAGAGATCAGAATTTAGCGTTTGGCCATATGGAAGCAACTCATAATAAATAATCCCCTTCCAGTCCCACCAAATGCATAGCAAAACCTTCCTGGCCGTTTGAGGTGCTTCACCGCTCTTTGACCACGATCGTTTTCGCACAGGGTTATCGTATGTGATCCATTTCTCATCTCCAGTCACCATCCGTTTAAGAAATGGGTCTATCTCATTCCGTTTGGCCAAGGCTTCGCAGATGGAAATTCGATCCATCATGTTTTTTTCTGTTAATTGGTGTGGCACCCAAACATCGAGCTTCTTTTCGAATCCAGCTTTGTGTAAATGGTATAAAACTGTTTTATGGTCGATTTTTAGCTCCTGGGCGATGTTACGACTGCTAACATGCCGGTCAACTTCGATCATTTCTCCGATTTTATCGACATTTTCGACGACCGGCCTAACTGTGCGAGGTGCATCTTTAACATCAAAAATTCTTGAACGGGATCTACGAAACCAAAATTGCACATAATTGGCTGTTACAGTATCGGAACCATAAACACCATTCACAATTTTAGCCGCCTGGCTTGCATTTTCGCCTTTGTCAAAGAAAATCTGTAAAATGTACCGAATTTTCTCTTTGTTCACTTCCATTTTTAACACGCTGTAACTCACAACTGAATGCACCAAACAAAAAACAGCAAAAGAATTTTTTTTACTGCGAAATGTCACCTTTCCAACGAGCATAAATATGAAATTGTTTGATCGATACTTTACGAGAAATCTATCAGTGCAGCCATCTACCGAAAAAATAATGGATTTCTTTTTCCCCAAACTAATATAATATGCGGTTAAATAAACAAATAATTTTGGCTAAATATATGGAAAGAAAAGGGAGGAGAGATATAAAAAAGTAATGTAAAAAGTTAGTGGACTGTCAATGCAAATATTTAAACAAAACGTTCAAGTTAATATATATATGTTTAAGTTATATATATATATGCGAACAGCGAGCTAACCTGCTAAACTAGAAAGATTTTTTATCAATAAAGTGATAACAAACTGGCATTACTGTAAGAAAGAAGCTTTAAACGAATAATTTCGACTCAACACCAGAATAAAACAGGCCCTACACCATATTGTCTAACGCACTTCTTATTTTTATTATATATATATATATTTTTATATTATTTTTATTATATATAATATAATATTATATTTTGTTTCCATATAAAGGCAAATTTTTCCAGTGCTTATTTATGTCGAAGCGGGCCCAAATCGCAATCTAATTTAGTACAAATTTAATCCTTAGCTTAGAACTCAAAAATAGGCGTCGATGGTCCAAATTTTGCAGAGTTCATATTTATATGAAATTATGATAATATTATGGTTCAGTTTTTACCACCACATATTAAAACTTGGGTTTTCTGCTCTACAAAGAATCAATTTACTTAAAAATCTTCCATAGGATTCAAATATTAGGACGAGATGGTCTAAATTTGGTACAGTTAATTTTTTTATGTTAAATTACTATTATGATATAATTTTCATCATGAAGAATTAAATATGATATCTTTTTATTGTGTGAACTTTAGTTTTCCTTATATGAAGGAGTTCAAAAATGGCCCAAGGCGGTCAGAAGTTTCCATACCAATTGAGAATGGCGAAATATTACTACTTAGCCACTTTTGCAGAGAAATTTTGAAAATTACAATTTTTTCCCATATAACAACTTTTCAGAATAGGGCGTTATATGAGGAGTGGTCGAAAAAGTGGACCGATCCGAACCGTTTTCAACAGCGTTCGTCCTTGGGTTAAAACATTCCACAGTAGTAAATCTATTTGCAATATCTCAAATTGCGACCTGTAGCTTGAAATTTACATGGACACACATCAGACGGACAGGCGGACCGGCAGGCCTAGATCAATTCTGATAATAACTCTGAATAATAATCTGAATAAAACTCTGAATGACTCGGCCGGTATAATAAAAGGTGGGTCTATGTGAAGCCGTTTTGCGTGTTACATACGATCGCACTAAGTTAATATACCCTGTACCACAAGTGGGGTAGGGTGTAAAGATATAGATATCATGGCCGTTGTATCCGCAATAAACGTCTCAAACTCGCTTGCGTTGCAGGAGGAAAATGTTCAATTAATTCGCATAACCATTATAGTCTTTCTACAAACGGATACCCGATCTAGAATCGATCCAATCAATTTAAACAAATATACATGGATCTCACATACTTCAATCTATTAAAATGTTTTGCACAAACATCAAAATTCAAAACATTTGAAGGTTGATAAAAAAGATACGTGCACTATGTATCTGGTCTTTACCTTAATATTTTAGTATTGAAAATTATTATTATATAATATCGTAACTTGCCGTCATTATTGTTCAACTATCTTTCTCTTCTTTTAAACTAAATGCCATATGAATGAAATAGTATAGCAAGCAATGCTATACATGACGAATTAAGCGTGAGTTAATGATCTAAAATGGTCTTTATTAAACATGTCACATTATTCGTTTAAATGGAGCTTGCAAGCAAAAGACATTGTAGGGAGAATAATGAACTTTACAATCGAATTTTAAAGTCTATTTACTGTCTCTCTTAAGTTCTTACCCAAACAATGTGATAAAAAATAACACGAAGTAAAATTAAAAAAAATAAATAAATAAAAGTTACATAATCTATACAACTCTTGATTTCACCATAAGAACATTTTTTTACTTGCTATTCTTATTGTGAACTCTAGGTAACGTTTGGACAGTTTTAAAAACTAGAAAGTATATCAATGAATATTTATATAAATAAGTTTTTTTTTTTTTTAAACTTTTTTAAGGTTTTTTTTTTGTTTATTTTATAGACGACCTTGCTGACAAAAAACGATTCAATTTTGCGGATTACGAGAAGGTAAATAGTAAATAAATGGACTGATGGACGTAGCTAAGTGGTTTTAAAGTTTTACAATTGCATAAGCACAAATATACGTCATGAGATCGCTGACACATAATCTTGAATAAGGTAAGCGAATCGCCGAAATTATTGTACTCTCATCTACTATGCCTCGATATTAAAACTTAATACTTTAATATTATTAAGAAAAACGCTATATTAGTTGCTTCTCCAAGTAGTTTAATTTTTGCTTAATTGTGCAAGTAACTATGGTGCTCCAACGAGTATTTCGAGTATACACTTTCGTACTCAATTTGTGAAGTTGCAATGGTCGCCATTTCTTAGATTTTGAAAATAAGATTAGGAAGTAGAGAAAAAAGAAAAGCAGATGGAGAAATGAAGGGATAAATTGGGTCACATGTTTAAGTCAATTTGAGATTTCACCGCAATCAAAAGTGCGCATACAACTTGACGAACCGTTTCAGGATTATGTTCTTTTGCCGGAAAAGAATACACAAGAAGTAATTATGTCATGATCCAAGCTAATTTCAACACATTTTTTATACAAATTTTAAGTATCTAACGTAAAACTACGAAATGAATATCATATTTAGAACATATGATAATGTCCTTTAAAAATATTGATTTTAATTAATACTTCTTGTCTTCTTCTTGTTCAACAAACAAATCAACTATAGATGACCATCTGACTGAAGTATTTATTGTGTGTCGACTATGATAAGAACTCAATATAATGACTCGCGTAATGGTGGATAAAAGAGCTTGAATTTCATGACTAAAATATCTAAAAAAATAAAAAAGAAAAGGCAATAATGAATAAAATATAAAATTTCCTATGCATTTAAAATAAAAAACAAACTGTAAATATCTGACTATTTATAATTATATCATTAAGCTAACATCTCGCAGCCATGCTATAGAAATTCAGCTCTTTAAGCATTCAGCCAGCAATTGTTGTGTAAAAAATTAAATTAAAATATTCACCCGAAATTCAGCGATCTGATTGTATCCTTCCGGTTGATTATTGTGGTTGACTGAGATCAAAATAATCTCACAAGTTTATTGTGAGGACTAAGCGCGTAGCCTAATCGATCCAAAGACTTCGTTTCATTTGATTTGTTCGTTTTCATTTGAATAACGTAAGCCATGGATACTCGCGTTGACCAAAATATGTACATTTTGCAGCGTCTCTGATTCGTTTAGCTGGGTGTGAGTTTGCCAGAAATTATATAAATGAATAAAGATAAGAAAACCTTTGCTTTCTGTAAATTTTGCAAAACCTTCGCTCATATTGACCATTTTGAGTTTAGAGTTGTTCTAACATCTGTCTTAGAGATTACTCCAAAGGCGACCTATGCGGTTAAAAAAGATATCACGGTGATGAAGGACATCTGCAGGATAAGGGAATGAAAACGCTAAGAAATCCGAGGAGTTTTTCTACCGAAACTAGACGAAACTCTTTTATGTTTGTCGACTATTTACCCTGGATATATCCCTACATTGGAACAATACGGCCCACGTTATGCCGACGTGCAATGATACCGAGAGTTTGGTCCACCGTGAGCATACGAGCTTTTCGCTATACATAGTCGAGGGTCCCCAGCCGAGATTCGGGGTCTCCCGCCCATACCTACGAAAATTGATCGAATATAGACGGTTTAAGTGGTGCTGATATGTATTTTTTCCATCGCTTTAAAAATCGTAGGTCCTTGCTTGCGTCTTTCAAAACTTCGTATACATGTTCAACGTTTGTCTAAGGAACTGCAATTTGTATTCTCAGACGTAAAATGTCCGTAGGTGCGGATTCTAACAGATACAAACACGAGGAGTTGTTTGTGATTACTCCTAACCTTCACAAATTGAGAAAATTTGTGCACAACAACAGCTCTTAATTTGTGTAAGGCTAAAAGTGATATGCTTGGTATATTAAGTAACCAAAAATCTTAAAACCCTTTTTTTTTTTTAATAAAACAAGATCCAAAATAAATCATATAGAGGCATGAGCTACGTAGTTTCAAAGATACCATAAAATATGGGTACAGAAAGTGAGAGTAGACATTTGTTGAATTCATAAATTAGGTGCAGCGCATATTACGCGACTTGGTATGATTGGATCTTTTCTCTTAAAGTTATTCTGAGCATAAAGTATAAATGTAAACATAAATCGCTATCTATAAGCGTATAAGTGAAGCGTATTAATGGGCGTTAGCGACGATGAAAGAAAATTAATGCAACTTCCTTCTTCGGTGGCGAATAAAATAAAACTTTTCCTTCCTAGATAATCGATGTGGAAAGATAAAACGGAGGGACATTTTTCTTACCGGAGCTTTTAGAGTTGTATTTTTTTTCTTTCATCATATCACTTAATTTATATTTTCCTATTTAGCTGCTCTTGAAAAAAAAATTTTTTTAAACAATGCCGCAATTAATAATGTCAAATTTTCTGCGAATTTTCCGTTTATAAAATTACTACATAGTGTCAAGAAATTTTTTGTTGCATACTTTTTTTCACTGCTACAGCAAATATTTTAGTCACACTTGGATAAGGAATTTTCAAACCACACTTCTCATCATATGTTGTTACATGCAATCAAAGAGTTCTTAATTAAATTTAACTCTTAATAAGAAAAAATAATATAAAGGTTAATAAATAGATCGCAAATAAAACTGCGTTTGTTAGAAGACTTACCGAAACTTTCAGAATAAACTCTTCTGTTGACGTTGCTGAAGTTAATATATAAGTAGTTTACGTTGCCATTTGAAGCTGGAGCATTATTGAAAGTGTTGGACGCTCTTAGTTTTTTTGGGAATTGTAGGGACCTCAAATTTTTTCTTCTAAGGAAGGAGTCCCTCGCCATCTTTAACTCTGTTCAAGCCAGTGTAGATTTTTGTGCCCTGTGGCAGTTACTCAGGTCTTCAAATATGTTTTAAAAACACGCCGCAAGCTGATCGCAGAAATACATAGTTTCGGGGTATCATCATCCTTCTTTCGGTATATTTTATAACCTCTTAACGGAAGAATATTAGGAAGTCCTTATGCCGTACCAAATTATTTCCCACTCGTCGGTTTGATTAGAACAATCATGAATTATTAAGCAAATCCTTTTTGCTTGCGAAAAAAAAATTGTATTAGGTGTTTTTTTAAGTGAACTGAATGATGGAAAATAAATTTTATTCCATCCCTGCTACTCTCCATACAACGCCTTACCCTGAAAAGTCGTTATATGGAAGCAAATTGTAATTTTCAAAATTTCTCGACAAAACCGGCTAAGTAGTAGTATTGCGGCGTTCTAAATTGCTGCGAAAGCTTTAGACCGGCTGGGGCAATTTTTGAATCCACTCTCGTATAATAAACTAAAGTTTATATGGCAAAAAGTTATAATTTTCGATTCTCCATGATGAAAATTATATCATAATAGTAATTTAACATAAAAAAATTAACTTTACCAAATTTGGACCATCTCCTCCTATTTTTTGAATCGTATCCTAAGGAGGATTTTCAAGGAAATTGATTCTTTGTAGAGCAGAAAATCCAAGTTTTAATATATGATGAAAACTGAACTATAATAGTTATTTCATAAAAAAATGAATTCTACAAAATTTGGACCATCTACGCCTATTTTTGGATTATGCCCTATGTAAGAATTAAACTTGTACTACATTAGGTTGCGTTTTGGGCCCGACTCTTCATAAATACGCACATGAGAAATAGAAACAAAATATAACTTGTGTTCTATAATAAAAATAAGAATTCGGTTAAACAATGCGGTGTAGGGTATTTAATGGTCGGGCTTGCCCGACTATAATGTTCTCACTTGTTATGTAAACAGTTCTAAATTATTACTATTTCCGAATTAAAGTTCACACCGTGTACATAGTAGCAATAGTGACCATAAGGCAAAGAAAAAAAGTTGTAAAATACATATTTTATTTTTTATAAGTTTGCACGCTTCCGGTGATGACCTTGTAGAATTAAAAAAATTCCAAAACTTCAATCTTGTAGTCGTCAACTTGTGACACGTCGCATTTGTTTCACCCTGGGTAAACGAGATGCGCGGTTAGCAAACAACTTTCTCTTGTCCAAATTTTAATATAAAATGATGAACAAATTGTCTTTTGATATCTTTGTTACGTTAGCTACCATTTATAAGTTTACTTATTGATTTTTAAGTTTAAGGGATTTAATTGATGTTTTTTACCGTAACGGGCATGAACTACATTCAGCATCACATTGAAAGTCATTTAGATGAAGCCGTTTAAAATGACCAAACCACCGAAAAATTGATGCTTATGACAAAAAGGCGATTTTTTTTGCCTTGTTTAACAAATGTCGTCACTTAAACGACAGTAACGCGCAACCAAATGATCGAAATAGCATGTCATTTGAACACACATCGTTTGGAGCGGCACTTTCTAAAACTAATGTGAATATTTTTTTAGAAATGACATATGTGTGTGCGTTCCGGGAGTTATTGCTTAATGCATGAATATATAAATATATGAAAAGAGTTTCTGATATACTATTAACAAAAATTTGTAAGAAAACAAGTGACGTTTCTTTAAATGCTTCATATTCATTTTGGTTTACGCCTTTGACACAATGAAGAATTCGTTTTTAAATTTTCGTCAACTATATACTTTATATTATATATTTTTAGTTGGGTTGAGTAGACATATCAACTGTCTACTGAATTCTATTTTAAGTTTTCTAAAATTTCTCTACCCAAAGAGACTTGGTCATATATGCCATCGTCGAGTTCACTTCGAATACTATGTAAATTGGTCCATAGCTTTCAAAACTCTTATACTGATGTATGCAATTCGAGAATGCCATAGAGCTCTTTATTAAAGTTGTCCGTACCCGTATTATGCTTTCTTCAACAAGAACGGTTTACAAATTTTTTGGCATATTACGTGCCAATCAATTTACTGAAAAAATGTTGGCTCTGATTCACCGTTATTCATATAAAAAAAATGAAATACGACAAAAGTTTCGTCCCCGCTAATGTTTGATCAAATGTAATTATTATCGTTCTTAACGAAATCATTCAGTCAGAGGTGGCTATCCTGCGATGAAAGAGCTTCTCTTTTTCGATATGACTTATAGA